ATGTAAACTTCTGTCAAAATTAAGGCGAGCAGCCAGTAAAGTCAACACCAAAAGTGCGTCCGGGACGAACAAGCAAATGCCATTAAAATATTTTGAGTTCGAGTCAATATTGTAATGTAGTATTTTTTATAGTTTCTTTTTAATGTAATACATGCAGTTTAGGAAATAATTTTTTTTTTTGTTTTATATTTTTGTGTAATTAATTTTCATCGTCATCGTATTATAGGCTTGTTCAGTTACTTTATAATTTAAATTTGATTGAAGCCCAACACAATGAAACATGCGTCGATAAGTATAAATAAAATTTGAAACAGGACAGCAAATGTGACTAAATGTCTGGCAGTTAATACTGTTTGTGTGAGCATACGAATTCGGCAGTACCTATGCTGCAGGACAAGGATACGCAGTGGTGTCATGGCAGTTTGAGTTCATATTGTGAATTTCAATCGTAATTTCAGTGAATTTTCCGAACTTTGACTACCTAACTATTAAATATTTTTAACTTTTATCAAATGTAAGTCAATTATAATAGAGTTTCGTTTAGTCGTTAGTGCATCAATAAAGTGTAGAGCGCTCTATAAAAGTATATCAACTGACGAAGAAGTATTACAATATCTGGGTTTGTGCTGTGATAAATGTATCAGGTTTTCATTATTCAGATGTTTCAGTGAGGAAAATTAAATAGCAACGATGTCACGGTGGCATGCGTGGAACATTTTTAGAACTAATTTTCTAAACCAATCGGGTCGTCTAAATAGGTAGTTGTATTAATTTGTTTTTCTCTTATTCCAATCGAAATATTATCCATAAGTTTTAATAGTTAATTGTAATTGTATTTAAAGCTACTTAGTTGCAAGTAACTGAATATTCTTAAAATAGTTTGAATAGATCCACTCAATTGTATTGTTGGTAGAATAATAAAACAAAAAATGTTATTGTTACCTTCTTGTTTTAATACTCCCTTGCGGCTCGTTCAGATTACAGAAATTGAATAAAACCTAAACATAATAAAAATTTTCGAGATAATGATTCCAAAAATACAAAGAATGTGCTGGATTTTGCACACTAATTAATAGGTTATATTAGTAGGTAATAGTAGAAACTGGCGGCTACCTTTAACATATAGCCCATATAGGTTAGAGAATTCAGAAGCATAATATAACTCACTGTTGGTTATATCGCGGGCAGTGGCTTGAAGTACCCAATACAGTAAGTACCTACCCTCACTATAACCGCTACAATTGTATAGATTGTACTGCAAATCAAATGTAATACATTTTCATTACTCATTATAGTTTATTACCTGAAACTCATCGACTTGCACAGTCTTAGGTCCCAACCCCGTCCCCGTGCATCCACCAGCCGAAGCACGGTCCTATAAAAAAACGGACTTGGCCACGCCGCCGGGCCTGGTGGAGGCATTATTTTATTGTATTATGCCTAAGTGAGACCAAACGTCATCTGATCTCGGACCATCGGCGGCCGCGAGAGAAATCAATCGCAGTCCGTTCGTAATCGTGCGAGAACAAAATATTTTATACGGTGAAACCTCCCCAAACGGAGTAAACTGACACATCTAAATAGTGGACACTCCAAACAGCGAACACGTTTTCAGTAACAGAGAGTGTCCGGTATTCAGAGGTTTAACTGTATTTGCAGTATACGCCTGAGCGCGTAGCAATATGATGGAAATGGTTCTGTTTCTTCAGGCGCCTAAGGTCCTGGTGGTGTCGGATCAAAGACATTCAAAGAAATATAACACATGTTGATAATATTTTTAAATACTTTTAGTGTATCAACTGCAAATTAGATAACGATACTGGTCAATTTAAACAGCACCATTATTGTTTTTGTACAATACTCCTGAAACTATAATTGCCTAAAACGATAGTTGCCAAAAAGGTTAAAGACTATAAAAAATAACGGCAACAGTAAGTTGTATAACATCCGAGTAAACGTTTGACGATCATAATCAGACATGTTTAGTTCTCGGTTCTGGTAATAATTATAATGCACTAAATGCTAGTTAAAAATTCAATTTTTCTACAACTAAATTTTCAGCAAAACATTCATCTTTGGAATCTAAAATGAAAAATGTATATGTTGTCGTTAAAAAAAGTAAAAACATTACTAACTGGTAATGATAATTAATAGTATTAATTTATTTGTTATTGCGAATTTTTTAAAATATTGTTTTGTTAAGAATTCAAATTATGAAAAAAATTAATACTTTTATCGAGATAATGTGTGTTTACTGTAAATAAAAATGATCACGCTCTATGAAAAAGTACCAACATAACTAAAAATATTAAAAATATGTAATTCAAGTAGGTACTTTTATATTCAATTTTATTAATTTCCGTGAATTCTCATATATTTTTTTTCCTCAAATAATGATATTTTAATACTAGGTAATATATATTAAAGAAGTCGTATGGCATTTTTTAGTAATAAAAAATATTATTTCAAGTTTTTTATTTATTGATATAATGTTATATCCAGCAGTATAATTACATTATCTTATAATATAAAATCATAACAAATACTTGATAAATTAATCATAAAAATGGAATATCACAAAGTTAATCGTTATTATGGAGCAACCGTCTATATATGTATGTTATAGGTATACATAATCAAACTTCTGATAAAAAGAAAAACTTTTTTCAATAATATGTATTTATTTAAGGAACGATGAAAACTTTTGAATTTCTTATTAAATCAAACGAGGGTTACAAGTTTACAATGAATAAACAAGTTTACAACGAATAAAAAGTATTACTGATGTATCATGATATTTCAAGGGATAATATTTTTTCCTTCATTTATTTAAATAAATAAAGAACTGATTTTAAAAATTAGATAAGAGTATATTTATCACATTTTTGATTCATTTTTAAAGTTATTTGAAGTCAAAAAGTATTTATAAATGTTAAAATCGGCTGTTTGTAGGACACACGTTTTTTTTTTATTATCTATATGATAGTAATGCCGATAGTAATATACAGCTGTATCTAAAATGCAAAAAAAAAATAAATATCTAATTTAACGTGAGAAAAAATTATAAACTTTACAAAAGAAATACATTTTAAATTTTAAATAGTGTAAAATGTAAATAATTCGGTTCTTTTATTTCGTTGATGATTGCTGCATCAGGCGAATCATAATTATAAATTATGAATAAATTAATATATAATAGCTGTATGAGTATACAATATAGGTACTATTTTGAAGCGAAAACTAAAAAAATATTCTTACCTTATCAGTCATCACTTATGAATTATGATAAAACTCTGCGTCAAATATTTTTACACGTTATAAGACGTTTAATCATTTGTATCGAAATAAATAATTTTTTACTAGCCAGATATTGTGTGATATGTGTGTCTTCCACGTAGTCGGTCGCATTAAAATTTAAAAGTGATTTAGACCGCTCATAGTGTCTGGTGTTATATTTTAAACTAGACTGTTGTGGTGGGCGAAACAATACAGTTGTATAAATTTTGAATTAAAAATAAAAAATAACTCTTAGGTAGTATTATTAAAATGTATCGGTGCGATGCACTAATCGATAATAATACACCGGAAGTATTGCTACATAATAGCTTAATAAATAAACAGTAATATTATATTATTGTGCATCCAGTGAAGACGGATGTAGGTAACGAAGCTCAAAATATGAAAAGATTAAAAATGATATCTAAATGGTCGATTGAGAATTATCGGTTTGCATTTTGATCGTAAAATAATCCGAATCTGATCCGTCCACCTTTTTGATGGCGAAGGCTAAAAAATATATTTTAATCGTTTCACTGTCCACAATTCAAATACAGCACCTCTTTTTATTCTTACCAAACATGTATATGGTCATATCAGATTTTTAATTTACTTATGTTCATGACTGTTAGGTAGGTATACATATTAATTTAACAAACAAACGACGTTTTAATCCTTGAGCATTCGAGGTATAGGTATTATCTTAGTTCATGGTTTTTAAGCATAATGTCTATTTTTATAGAAAATGTTTTCGCCGACCTCATACATTTGCTACGAGGGCTGTGGGTTGCCGACCCCTGATCTAATCTACAAAATATTACCACAAAGTACTCTATCAAACGGCTTATTTATAATTTATATATCATAAATGCACTGCCCAATTTCGTGGCCGTATTGAGGGGTGGAGGATGGATTAGTGGCCTATAACATAACCTAACCAAAGGAAATGTGCACAAAGGGCGCCAGTGCACTAAGACGCCACGACATTTTTAGGGGCGCTAAATTAAAAGACATAATGTGTTTATTTTTATTTGTTATTATTTCATTTTAAAAATATATTTCATATCTACTTTGCGCCTTATTTCATGGCATGAGATTTGAATCGAACCTCCCCAACGATACCCTTTTGAAAAAAACATATGTGCAACTCATATTCAGTATGCAAATAAATCGAGATTGTTGGGCATGCCGAACTTCTTTTTTTTATAGCAAATGGTTTTGGTACCCAAGTTCCTAGAAATCATATCAAATGTCATGTTGATTAGTTGCACGAAAAATATTGGTTAGGGAACCAATGATAGTGTTAGCATACCGCTGCCTATACATTACTTTAACTTTTATGCAACGCAATGTAGTAAAACCTCCTTATAACGGAATCGCTCAGTACAAACTGATTTTCCAGTTAAAGGGAAACTAAAATATACGCGGGTTACACAGGACTGTACTGTTATTTTCCGTTTTAGAGAGATTTCCGTCTTCCAGGGGCCCACTTAAAAGAAAGCTCTACTGTAATATAATAGTTTCGTATTATTCAATCATGACACATTTACATAAGATAAAAAATGATAAGAATAACGAGATGTTGAGTCATCAGTCAATTGTTTAATGCAAAAAAAAAAAAAGTACAATATCAATTATTTATATCCTATATACTATTAGAATAATTAATTTTCATTACATTATTACATTATACACGGCTCATAAAAACCTATACAAATATAAACTTGAGATGTTACACTTAATTCTAAAAAATAAAAACTATATTACATTATTCTACACAAAAAGTAAGATTATTGTCGATGCAGCACAATAAGTTTAAACTTGTCAACTACGTGTATTCTCAAGCAATAACAGTCTTAAATATGTGTTATGTCCCAAGAATACGCGGGGCCAACCAAGTTAGTCTACGAAGGTGCGCTGTGGAATCCTGTCCACCTGAAGAATTGTGATGTTTCTCGTCGTCATCTTAAAATCATAAAATTCGAATTATACATAGCAGTTTTAAAATAAAATACGTATTGTTAACAAAATACATTTATTAATACCAAAAATCTTTTTTACTGACATAGGCAGATGCATATTACTTTTGTTCATTAATTTTATTTTAATCGTTATTATATCCTATAAAAACAGTTGCGTTTCGCACTCGAATGATAAAAGAAACAATGTATGAACAAACGTGATTAAAATAAGTATGACAGTAATACTACCTATCGTTATTTATGTGACAAAATATAATTTACGTTATACTTGATGTCGTATAATAAATATATGACTCAAATCATACAACAGAGTATAAATTTAACCCACACATTTGGTGGGTACCATCGCCTACGGTAGAACTAAGTAGGTACACATCTACAACTGGCCATGCAACTGTTGCGTGATTATGGTTTTAAAATATTGTAATCTGGCACTACAATATAATGGAAAAATAATTTCACAGTATTACTAGAAGGAATTTCACACGTGTTATTTAATTAAAACATGAGTGGTATCAGAGGTACATAATATCTTATAGCATCTTAGCTTGAAAAAGTTTGAAGGGAATATTTTCTTTTGATCTGAAAACTATGATAAGATATTCGTTTAATTCTAATCATTTGAAGTCTACATAGCCATCATACGAGAAAACTTAATTTTTAAATGTGCACAGGAAAAAGTTTTGTTAATTCATTCAAACAAAACTTTGATCAAAGGTATGCTCTAATTCTCATTTTTGCTCGTAATATATAAACCTAAGCCGCACTTTGTTGATTGAGTTGACGACCCATTAAGATGAAACTCAATTTAAACTTTACTATACTCTCCTGTAAATTTCCCAAAAAAACTAGTACATAATACATTACCTGTATAACTTAGAAAAAGTATGTGAGTGTCTAAGAGGATATTTTAATCTCGAATAAAATAATCAAAAGTGCTTTTTAAAAATAAAACAGACAACGTTTCAATATTATAGTACGCACCTATATTCAGAGTTTTTTAATGACAAATTCCTTCACTTAAAACATCGATGGTAAACCTCAAGTAACAGCTTGACCATACAATATAATATTTAGTATAATATTAGTAACCTAACCATATTATGGTGCTAACATACGTCGGGCACTGAAATGATTTTAGACTTTAGTCGGTGGGCAGGTAGACAGTCGAGAATATTTAACAATACGTAATAATAATTATTATTTTAAAATATACGTAGGTACTACATGTTCAAAAATCACATAAATCTTTTTTTTTTTGTAAACGCTTGTGTGATTTTCAATTTGCCATTTGTGAAATACACCAGAGAAAAAGTGCAAATAGACGACATTAGATCGATGCGTACATTAAAGACGCGTTTGTATTGTGGATCTCGTGTTCTGAGTATTATTTTTATTTTTTTAATGTGTGATGTGCAGTATATTAGTCAGTACAACCCTCGTCATCCCCTAGGACTCCAGGCAAAAGTATACGTAAATACGTTAGAGTTATTTTACCCCGTGTATTGTATAATCTATGATGGTATATACTCATATAAAACGCACGTATCGCTATATAATATTATTGACTTCTGAAAACTTGCATTGATAGCTACCGCCACTGCGTGTGGGGGGGGGGGGTTGCGACAGCTACAGCGCGGCACCCATAGAAGCGTTTAAAACGTTTCGACCGCGGCGGCGGCGGGACCGCTGAATGGGTGAGTATATAAAATAGCGAATTGTATACCAGTGCCGTGGGTGGGTTTGGTTATCGAGGGATGATATCGTCGTGAAAATAAAAATAAAAACCGTTCACGGATTCCTGCCCGCGGTGAACGACAAAAGCGCGAGTGTGTGCCGTCGTCGTCACGCTGAATAATAATAATAATAATAATAATCATAATAATATCCATACCGCAATCGGTGCTCAGGGAAGCGGTATATGGGCGGTGAGCGCGGGGAGACTGCGGGGCGGCAAAATGGTGGCGCCGGAATACTCGGAAATCACCCCCTCCAATTAACCGTGAATAGAATCTTAATTAACTCGCAATATTGTGGCGGCCGGGGGTAGTCGTGGGTGGGAGGCGTGCTGGCGATACGAGGGGTAAAACGGGGTATTGGCGGAGGCGCGCTTCGAGTTCAAAGCGATTTTAACAAGGACATAAGTACGGCTGTATTATAAGCGCCTTTGTGTTGTGCAATAATAATAATATATACCTACGTGTACAATAACACCGCACAACAGATATACATGTATATTATCATACATACTTATCATAAATAGGCGTGTGAGATGTGTAGGTACACAGCGTATACGTGTAATTAGGCTTTCCGGAGTGTGTGCGTGTGTGCCTTTGGTTAGGTTGGGGTAAACAGATCCTATGCGAGACGGTCATTTTTTTTTTAAATTTTTTTTTTATCGTGTTAACGTTTCGGAAGGTGACAAAAACAGTAATATTTTACGTCTCCAAACCCCCCCGTTAGTGTTTATGATATACTACACTCGAGTGAGCTGCAGGGGCGTGGAAAGGTGAAGACCGAACAGGATGCGCTATGGTGAAGTACATGCAGGAGAGGGAACTTGTCTGAAACTGCAGTAGCAGTATTATACACGGTGAGAAATTGTTTACGGGAAGAAAAAGAAAATACAAAAAAGCTTCAATTACAAGACGACGACGGCGGCGGCGACGGCGGCGGGAGAGGAAAAGTTATCAAAAGTGCGAAACTGCAGCTTCTCCGGATTGTGCAAATTTCTTACTAAAGAGGACTTAATGTAATTTAACTCTGGTTTAATTTGTCGACTTTATAATCCGGTTGTCTCAAGCGTAATTGTTTTTAGAACACAAGCTGGTCGTATATATTTTATAATTTATTAAGATACTATGTATATTTTATACAGTGCAAGTGATACTTTTAAAACGGTCAAACAACACAAACGCCACGGCTCGCGAAGTATAATTTGTTCGAAACTCGCCCAAAATGTTTGCCTGGAACGAGAAAACATATTATAATAAATAAAATTAAGTACGGCATACTATCAGTTATCTCCGTTTTTATTCGTGATACGTTTTCACGGTAAAATGATCAACTCGTGTTTAGGAAAACCGTACATGTACCTTGTACGACCACCTGTAAATACCAAAGAACTGAAAAATGAACGAAACAACTCGAAAGATCTACCGACTAAGTATTATTTTGACATATTTTGTAAATAGAGCACACGTAAGGCCGCGAGAACAAAAGAGAAAATGTTGTTTTTCGCTGAACCGCGGTATTATTGGTACATGTCGAGGTCGAGTAGAATATAGAACCGGATGTTTGTGATTTCATTGTGTAATTTTTTGTTATAAATGTTAGTTTTGTATGACGTAACAAAATTATTAAAACATGTCAACAATTTCAATTCGAGACTTTAAAATAGTTCCTAGATTATTCTAAAGGTTCACTCTAGTTCAAGTTTAATATTTGTATATTTAGGCGTAGGAATAATAATTGATGGGAATATTTTAAACTATAATATATTAGGTATATATTATATTAAACTGAATTTAAAACTAATTCATTAACCACGTTAATAAAAAAAAAAATAACAATGCAGATTCCACTCAATATTATTGTAATAATTGTATAATATAACTTTACAATATTGTAGTTAAATATAAATAAGAAAATTATTGCCGCATATTATAGTTTGGTATCAACCAAAACAATATTTCAGGTTATTAAATTATATCGATTAATAGACAATTATGACGAATAGCTTTGAAAAATTGAAACACGTAATTATGTTTATCTACAATATTTTAATATTACTTACATTTTAGTTTATATCCTGTGTATCTGATATTGCTTTAAAATAATTTTTGAAATTTTAGTTTAAATAAAATTGAGGCCCAAAATATAAAACTTGATTCCCATTACTCATGAAGTTGAAAAATAAGCAGAATAATTCTGGGGCTACTGCATTTGAACTGATGAATTCAAAATTTTGTCGGCATTTTCGTGTACAATTTGCAAGACGTGACATTTGTTTTAAATGTTCACAGACATACCTATCTCGATGCAACGTATTCATAGCATAAACAATAATTCATGATAATAAGAATACAATAATTTAAAATTGATTAATTGTACATACGTCTGTAGTTTCAGTCGGTATATTTTTTTATTTAAATAGGTAAATTATAAATAATAATGATTTTACAGTTAAAATGTGTGTTTTGATTTTGAGTATAGGAAAAAAGACTTGTTGGCTATAGCCCGTCTAGTTCTTCTTGGCACTCTGAAACCGTTACGAATTTAAAAAAAAAACACTAGTCCAAAACCTGTGTACTTATTTATATTTTAAAAATATATAGTTTTCGGACCACAATTTTTTTAGACCATAACGAAGTACCAAGATGAACTGGATGAGTAAGCAATGGTAAATAATAATCATATTATTGAGATCTTCGACAAACGAACGCGAATTAAATTATTTACGGTGAAATTAGGTTTATATTTATGGTATATCTACATACGGACGATTAATCCCCGAGAATCGGCCACGAATTTTCACCCATTCATCCCTAAATTAACCCTGTCCAATGTCCGATTGTAGGCTGATAACAGTATTTAAATTGAAGTGCTATTGAATTATACTAAAAATAATAAAACATCACCCCAAAAATACCATAATTTAGTGGATAAAGGCATAATAATTGTATTAATATTTAAATATGTTTTTTTTATCGACTTTAAATTACTCTAACGCAATGCCACTTTAACTCTATTTTCCTGTGGGCCTGTGCTTATTAATTCTATCGCAAAGTCATGAGTTCATTTTTATGATGGACACATTATTATATTGTAGTATTAGAGTTTTAAAATTTAGGAAGCACAGTTAACACTTCTACTTAGTTAAATGATAAGTAGAAAATGTTATAGAAATATTGTTTGCATCGTACATTACATAAATTGCATAATAATCTACCTTATGAATACAAATATATCCTTTCTACATCG